TTCCCTGAACCCTAAACCCTTCCTTCTAAACCCTAAACCCTCCCCCCCCAAACCCTAAACCCTCCTCCGCCCTAAAGCCCAAGAACACCTTTGAAGCTGACCCAGAACGGGAAAATAAGTTGAAGCCCCATGCAAGAACCCCACATATAGAGCCACAATAGCNNCGATCTGCTGTCCATGTGCTCGAGCTCCTCCACAACTCGAACGACACAAACGACCTCTTTCCAGAGTTGGCGCAATGTTGACATAATTTAGGCCTACACTTTCTCAAAGCCTTTTTAAGCCCTCCCCTCTAAACCCTAAACCATTCCCTGATAGAGGCCCTAAACCCTAAACCCTAAAACCCTAAACCCTAGGCCCTAAACCTTATAAACCCTAAAACCCTATAGGCCCTAAACCCTAAACCCTAAAACCCTATAGGCCCTAAACCCTAAACCCTAAAACCCTAAACCCTAAACCCTAAACCCCACATATAGAGCCACAATAGCTCCGTCCGGGCATGACGAAAGCGTGAAGGCTAGGCAAGCTTCTCGTGCCCAGCACACTTCTCCTCCAAGAGCCTGTCTTCCGTGTTTTTGAAGACACCTTTCCTCTTGACGGCATGGTCTTTGAATTTCTTGATCCTAAGACTCAAGTTGTCTTCGAGGATCTCCGGCCACTCCTCGAGCACGACCTTCTTGCCGCCACTGGAAGCAGGCGGACCCTGGTCTTCATCTTCCAAGGCAGCTGTGCGGTTGAATGCAAACACGGGGTCATCGTCCTTAAAGTCGCCGCTTATGGCACTCATTTCCTCCTCCAGCTTCAGCCGTGTCATCAGCTCGTCGTCCACCCTGTCCTCCAACTCGACGAGGAACTTTTCTTCGTTTGTGTACTTGCATCGCCTTGGATAACACAGGACTGGGTTGGTAGGTTAGCGTAGCGGGTGGCAACACTGCATATCTGCGACGTCCTTAATCAGGGGAGTTGCTTCGTGAGCTTGTGGCGGGTGCAATACTGCATGGCTCCTTTCACCTTGTTCCTCAGGCACAGAACGGATGAAACTGCAGAGGGAGATACATGCTTTGAGTCCTTCAGTGAACCTAATTTCAGCAAAAGCACTCCGGCCATCCCAGCTTGATCATGTCTTGTTCCGTGCACCACCCACGGACCAAGTTGCTTTTCTGGGACTTCGTTTTCTCCCTCCTGTAAGTCATCAATGTCTCGAGGCGTCCCTGCAAAGGCGATGCTGACTTCCCTTCAGCCACTAAAGGGTCGGCAGTCCTAAACAGCAAAGTTTCAGCCGAGATTCTTTGTTTCCTTCGTAGTCGTTCTGCTTGTAGCACTTCAACACAAAGTCCCTGAGCAGCTCCTGCTTGGTGGCACCACCTCGGCAAAAGTTTGGGATTCAGGGTTGATGGTTTATATAGGGCGGCATTTATGGGTTGATATGGCTCAAAGGCTTATAGGGATACGGGATCAAGGCTATAGGAGCTATGGTTTAGGGTTTATATAGGGTTTTATATATCGACTATATGTACATGTGTAGACCTATATATATATAATAATAATAATAATAATAATAATAATAAAAATTAATATAATAATAATAATATATATATATATATATGGGAGTTTCCGAAA